TGAAGACTTGTTAGCAGCATCCTCGCAGTGGTATGTAGAATGACTCACCTCCTTGGTCTTGCGGTCCTGGTCCTCTTTCCAGTGGGCAAGCTTGGCCTGGAGCTTCTCGACGGTGGCGGGGACTTCGTCCTGGCTTGATGGGGGGTCGACGCCGACCTTGGCGAGCTCCTCGATGATTCCGATGTTCAAGTTGAACTTGTTAGCAGCGGCGCCGCCCTTCTTGCCCTTCTTTCCCTTCTTGCCACCAGTACCGGCCATGTAGCTCTCCTCCTCGGTGTCCTTCTTCGATATGCGGGTACCCTTGAGGCCCGAGTCGTCGACGGTGCGCTGGGCGGAAGCGGCGAACTTGCTAGCGGCGGTGGTCTCCTTCGCAGGGAGGGCGGAGGGGTCGAAGTGGCGGATCAAGCCCTCGCAGGCAATGATCTCGTCGCCGTAGGCGGGTGCGCTGGCTTCCTCGAGACGCTTGGAGGCAGTCTCCTTACGCTTGCCGGCGACGTACTGGAGCTGCTCGAGGCGCCTCTTCTCGTTGCGGATCTTGCGCGCCTCGAACTCGTAGTTCTTGAAAGCGCGGAGCTGCTGGAAGTAGTTATCCTTGAGCTCCTTGCGGGCCTGGTACTTCTCCTGCTGCACTGCGCGCGCCTTGTCGGTCTCCTCACGGAGTGACCTCAGGTTCTTGAAGGCCTCGTCTTGCTCAGCCTTCAGTCCGTCGAGCTCGGTCTGGAGCTTGGTGTACTTCTCGGAGAGGGCCTTGTTCTCCGGGTCGTCCAGCAGCTTCTTCTGCTCGGCGATCTGGGCCTTGATGTCGTCGATCTTCTTCTGCTGGGAGTCGAAGCCGGAGAAGTTCTTCTTGGCCTTGTTGAGGGCGCTGATCTCGGCCAGGGCCTTCTTCTCGTCGACGAGCTTCATCATGCCGCCGTCAACCTGCTTCTGCAGACGGGCAATCTCCTGGTCCACATCCTCGGCCGACTTGTAGTTGGACTTGCCCTTGGCCGTCTTGAGCTCGTTGAGCTGCTGCTTAAGCTGCTCGTCGAGCTTCTTGATCTTCTCGAAGATGGAGTTGCGGCCGGACTTGTTGCCCTGCTGGGTCGAGCGGATTGCGTTGAGCTCCGTCTTGAGCTCCTGCTGGCGCTTCGCGTTGGGCGAGTCCTTGTTGTTGGGCTTGGCGAGGTCGAGCTTGGCCTTGCACGCGTTCTGGCCGTCGTTAGTAATTTTCCCGAATTGAGTGGTGGTGTGCGATGTAGCCACCCGTCAGCTCGTGGCCGTGCGACTGCGCGCACCACACAGGGACATGACATGTACTCACCAGCTTCTCCTGGGCGGCGGCGTGCTCCTTCTCCAGCTTGGCGAGCTCCTCCTTGTACTTGTCCTCGTCGGGCTTGTCGGGCTTGACAACCTGCTGCTTGGCCGGAGGGGCAGCAGCGCCGTTGGTCGAGGCCTGGGCGGCGGGTGGAGTTGCGACGTCGGCCATGTTTGCTGGGCAGTCAATTGGGTTGAGGGCTGACTGGGCGTTGCAGCGGGGGAGAGAGGTCTGCGAGAGCTGGGTAGACCGCCGAGTCGTGAATGTGCAGGCGAGGCGTGCAGGCGGTGGGAGGACAACTATTAAATTCGAGGGTCTCGAGTGAACCACGGATGCTGGCAACTTTTCCCGATGTTTAGCGGGCGGCCTAGTGTGCCGCCCGCAGTCCTGACCCTTCACTCGGGGCCTCGACCACGCACACACCAAACCACGGCTATGGCGGAACAATCGCGGGGCAGCATCCCCATTCTGCTGCTCAAGACCAAGTCAGTGCCCAAAGACACGTATGAAGAGCTGTTCCTTGAACTCGACAACGGCAGCTATGCGCCCGTCTTCGTGCCCGTTCTCGAGCACAGGTTCAAGCGAGATGCCCTGCGTGAGGTACGCCAACATGTCACCGATCGCGGCTTCGTGCCACAAGCGCAGCAGGGTCTCGCGACATATGGCGCGCTGATCTTCACCTCGCAGCGTGCAGTCGAAGCCTTCAGCGAGGTTGTCGAGGATATCCGCAGAGAAGGCGCCCTCGACATCGACGACCTGCTGCCAGAGAGTCTGCCGCTATATGTAGTAGGCCCAGCTACAGCTCGCGGACTGCGATCACTGGGTCTTAAGTGTCCAATCCTGGGAGACGAAACCGGCAACGGCGAAGCTCTCGCTGGCTTCATCTTGAAGCATTACAACGCCCTTTATCCGGGTGTTGCGAATCCACCCGTACTGTTCATGGTCGGCGACAAGAGGAGGGATATAATACCAAAGACCCTGCAATCAGAAGAGCTGGATCCAAAAGAGAGGGCGCGAGTAGATGAGCTGGTTATATACGAGACTGGAGAGATGCAGTCTTTCAAGGAGGACTTTTCGACAATCTGGCGCAGAAACGCGGATCAGGGCTCGAAAAGGCAGTGGGTTGTTGTCTTTTCTCCAAGCGGATGTCAGGCCATGCTTGAGAGCCTGGGTCTTCTGGATATGGAGACTGGGAGAGTCAAGGCTACTGCTGATCAGAGAGACATCCTGATATGCACCATCGGTCCGACCACGCGCGATTATCTTAAGCAGGAGTTTGGCTTTACTCCTGATGTTTGCGCAGAGAAGCCGAGCCCCGAGGGCATCGCGGACGGCATTCACGCCTTTCTCGAGAGGCACGAATAAGCAAACCTAGTTGTGGCTTCGTGTACGTGGACCGGGCTGCGCTCGATGAGAGGATGTACGATGCGAAGGCCTTGTATATCAGCATCGATAGGTTTGCTACATCAAGCGCGTGAATGCGCGACGCTATTCCACGCGCTCTCAAATCATCGCTCATGACCGCTCGCGGCTTCCATCTGATGGTCCAATGCTGCACGTGCCTTCCTGACGCGTCGATGTACTAATGACTGCCATTGACGTCACCATTTCACGCGACGCGCCTGCCACAAACCACCAGCGCGCGCAAACATCCGCCCCCTTCATTACTCCTTTGCTTTGTCTCCCATCCTTCTCTCATCCTTTCACTCATATCTTCAATAATCTACACCAATTCACTCAATTAACCTCACTGCAGCCACAATGGCAGGAACACGCTCCTCTGCACGCAGCACCGACGGTGGCTCCAGCCCAGCAAAGGGTAACGATGTCGCAGCCGGCACCAAACGCAAGCCCGAAGTCGAGCCGTCTCCCAAGCGCGATCGCAAGGCGTCCAAGAAGCAAGCTACTATCGAGGAGACAATGGACACCAGCAAGGAGTCTGACAGCGAGATGAAGGACGCCTCGGATGGGGGTCAAGACTCCAAAGATGTAGAGGAGGCCGAGAAGAAGGCCGCGGAAGACCTCGTCGATGCGAGCGATGCGACGGCATTGGCCAATGGCGATGATGACAAGCCTGCATCAACCGATATGGAGACTACCGACGACCAGGCGGAACAAGACACCGACGCCGCCCCCAAAGCCGAAGAGACTACACAGACAGAGAAGAGCGAAGACAAATCGGAAAACGCGTCAAAGGAGACTAGCGCAGATGGCGAAGGCGCGATCGAGGAGTCCTCCCAGCGCGCAAAGCAAATGCCGTCCAACATTCTCGAGAAGGGCGTCATCTACTTCTTCACCCGCAACCGCGTCGGCGTCGAGGAATCCGAAAGCGTTGGCGACCTTCAACGCACCTTCTTCGTCCTCCGACCAATGCCATCCGGAGCCAAGCTAGGCGACGGTGCCCTCGCCGACGACAACAACATCCGACTCTTTGCGCTACCCAAAAAGGTCTTCCCCAAGTCACACAACGATAAATTCATGGCATTTGTCGAAAAGGCGAACACTTCCATTAAAGAGCTGAAGGAGAGCTTCTTTGGTGCGGATGAGTACGAGACGAAGACACAAGGCAGCCGACGCACCGAGCCTGTCGCACCGGTAGCGGAAGGCGTGTATGCGATCACGCGCACTGAAGACCGGACCTGCCATCTCATATACTCTACCACCATACCTTCCGAGCTCGGAGAGGTCCAGGAAGACCTGGGTATCAAGGACCAGGGCAGCTTCGTCATGAGCGTCAAGAACCCTGAGCGCAGCGGACCGGCTTCCGCCCAGCTTCCTCAGAAGCCCGACTTCCCCAAGGAGTAAGTGATTGCGATGTGACTACTTGTTCATGACTGACCATTGCCAGGTTTATCGACGAGTTCCGCGGGTTAGCTTGGGTGGAAGTCAAGCCAAAGTACCTCGACTATGAGTACTGCCAGATCTTGCTCATTGGCGAGAAGATGGAGAGTGGAGTCGAGCCGACTACCAAAGACCAGAAGCATGACAAGGAGACCCCACAAGAGGAGATTGAGAAGCTTGAACATGAGGATGAGCTGCGCGTCGAGCATCTTCACGGTACGATGTTCAGCCGCTGGCCAATGTGATGTGTGCTAATCAAGCCTTAGGTGACGACTCTGTCTACGACGACCTCAAGATCAGCAAGAAGGAATACCCGCAGGTCGCGACGACCTGGTGAGATTGCTCTCAAGCTTGGCGTTATGCGATATCAACGATCTTCTCCCGAATTTACTGTACAACATCTGGGCCATCGGCGTTAAAGGGCGCGATACATATCACGGCATAGCCTCTGGCACGGAGTGTCGGTTTAAAATGATCAAAGGAACTGATCATACGGTTCGATTTCACCCACGAGCTCCATAGCACCGAGTCGCAATACAATAATCACTGTACATCACGCCTTTGAATGGACAGCTAACGTACAACCCTTCGATACTCGTTATCATGCTGAAATTACGAACAATCGCCTAATCGAGTAAGCCGGTTGGGCAAATCCTTGGGTTTCTGTTTGCGATGCTATCGCGAGAATCTCCGCTCATCGCTCACTGCTCACCGCTAACAATACCGCTAACCTCATCACCGCGAAGCTAATAGTTCGCCCTATCTCGACTTTCTTTATCGATCTTGTACCTGCCTACCTCAACGACCCTTTGATCTATACATCGCCGCGTCTCTCCCACGATCTCCAGCATTCCGCATCACCATGCCTCTCCTTCCCAGACCTCCCGCCGAAGACTATAAGTCACTTCTCTGGAAGCTTCGGTCCTTCTCCATTGGAAAGGAGCAGAAGAACACCGACCCTACATTCCTCTTTATGGACCGTGCGAACGCCGAATTCGGCTTTGTTGACAGCACATCCTTCAGCATTGCCTCTGTTCTGCGCTTTCCAGAAACCGACGAGCCTATATACTTCCAGGCCAAGACTGCGCGCGCAGCAGCCTGGCGAGACAAGAGCAAGAAAGTCTCGGTCCTGTTCCAACACCTTCAAGTCGATATTGAGTTTGCGTCGCCAGATCGTGCACGTGGCTTTTTGGATGTGCTGGAGGATATTGCGACGGCGGCTGGCAACCACTTCTTCTACAGCTATGAAGTGCCACAGTATGTAGCAGGCTGGATCTGATGCTTCGACTGGGACTGACATGGTGCTAGGAAGGTTGCATTCGTCAAGACCGACTTCGACATGGAACAGCAAGGTTTCACGAGCCGAGCTCCGCGGCCTTGGATGGCCGTTCCTGCCGACTCTTCTGAATGGCCTCGCCTACGGAAAACGGGCGAATGGTCAGACTTCACCATTGTCGCAGGTGGTAGCCAATTCCGCGTCCATCGCGTCAAGCTTTGCAAAGAGTCGCACTACTTCAAAGCAGTTTGCGGTGGTGGCTTCGCAGAGACCGCAAAGCAATCCATCGAACTCCCAGAGTCAGCGCAAGTCGTCTCCACTCTCCTAGATGAGATGTATGGTGTATATAACCCGACCACTGGTTCTATCTTCACCAACTTTGCGCCTCGTATGGAAATTGAGAAAGAGCAAATGATGAACCAACTCCTGGACCTCTTCATCGCCGCGGACAAGGTACTCACTCTCATATCCTTATCTCTGAGCCATCACACTAACTCTGCACACAGTACAACCTCGAACCTATTAAGCGCCGCGCCGCCGAAGCCATCATTGACCGCCTGCCCTTCATCACCGACCCGCTCATGATCGTCGACCTGGCTACATGCATCTACGACGACCAATGCCCGGAGGACGATCGCGGGTTGCGCAAAGCCATCATCGAGTGTGTGAGGATGAGGATGCCTGCCATACTACAGGATGAGAGTGCGTGGGAGGAGTTCTCGGAGAACAAGAACGTGTTGAGGGCCTTCCACATGTCGCAATGTGAGGCGGTTGAGGGTGGTGGTATGATTGGGTGGGGAGGCGGAGGTAATATGATGTCGCCGCCTGCTACGCCTAGGTAGAGGGTCGTTGGATAAAGGGAGGGGATGGTGGTTTGAAGGGTTTGGCTACTGGTGTGTAGGAGGATTGGTTTGCTAAGAGGTAGTCAGGGCGGATGTACTTGCGGTCGGCACTCGATCAGATGCGTTTGATGTGAAGACCTTGCTTCGCTTTCGCTGGACTGTCGCGCACCCTTCAAGTCCGCTTCGAAGGGCGATCGCGATTCTATTAACTGTACCTCCGGGCCTTTCTTCTTGAGCGAGTGTATTTGGCAGAGGCAATATTTGCCCATTAGTAGCAAGCCCATTCCGCGATAGCTGTCAGCCCTAACTGCATTTAAATTTGATGCGAGTTCACTTGCGATCGCGAAAGGCATGGCTTTGAACGGTTGTGATGTGTTGTGGGGTATTCAGCAACCGATCCGGCCTAGACCGGACACGAGCACCGTCTCACCTTCCCGAGGCCGCGAACGCGTGTCTTCATCTCCAATCTCATCAACTCACGGCTTAGACCACCCAATTCAGGCAACACCACGCCGTCATGGACACGATACGGTTTCCGACCATGCCATGAGCGTGCGCGCACAATATAGCAGCAAGAGGCTTTGATCGCCCTAACGAGGAGGCGCTCAACCAAGCGAATAGGACAACCAAGCACCAAGAAAGCATAACGAAAGAACACCTGATCGAACAACACGGTTCAAGATGGCCTCATCCTGGCGACAGAATGGTGAAGAGCGCGGTGCATACACCACTGTTGCGCAGACCGAGACTGCAAGTGCACACCTCACAGTACACGGCAAAGACGTCGCAGATGAAGACGCGGATGCCGTTCCCTTTGAGGCGCCTGTTCATATTGGCTCAATACCGACAGCAGAAGATCTGCTATTCTTGCCTCGCGTAGCAGACACGCTGCCACATGGCGCTTTTCTAGTCGCCGTTGTCGAGCTTTGTGAGCGCTTCGCCTACTACGGACTCTCCGGGCCCTTCCAGAACTACATCGCCAACGAATACAACGACCCCAATGGCCTTCCTGGAGCTCTTGGCCTGAAGCAGCGTGGCGCGACAGCGATGACGAACTTCTTCCAATTCTGGTGCTACCTCACGCCTTTATTTGGCGCCGTTGTTGCGGACCAATATCTTGGGAAGTATGCGACGATTAAGTGGTTCAGTTTGGTGTACATGGTCGGCATCGCGATTCTCTTCGTTACCAGCTTGCCGTGGGCGGTTCGAGGTGGAGCCGCATACCCTGGACTTATTGTCGCGATGCTGGTCATCGGCCTGGGTACTGGTGGCATCAAGAGCAATGTGTCGCCGTTGATCGCGGAGCAAGTGCGGTCCAACAAACCTTTCGTTAAGGACCTGCCTGGAGGAAAGCGCGTCATCGTCGATCCAGAGATTACGGTACAGAGGATCTACATGATATTCTACATGTGCATCAATGTAGGCTCGATCTCTGCGATCGCAACGACTATGTTGGAGTTGCATGTCGGATTCTGGAGTGCTTATCTTCTACCATTGGTTATGTTCTGCGTGGGCTATGTGGTGTTGGTGAGAGGAAGGAAGCAGTACATCATCAAGCCACCTCAAGGTGGCGTGATTGGAAACTGCTTTCGCGCCCTATACATCGCCGCAAGGAACGGCGGAGATCTTGACAAAGCGAAAGCATCCGCTCAAGGGCACGGAAGAAGCAGGTCAAAGGTGACTTGGGACGACAAGTTCATGGACGAGTTGAAGACCGCGCTGGTCGCATGCAAAGTCTTTCTGTTCTTCCCTATCTACTGGCTCTCGTACTCGCAGATGCTGAACAACTTCGTCTCGCAAGCCGGTCAAATGGAGTTGCATGGCCTTCCGAACGACATTCTTCCCAACATCGATCCCGTCACCATCATCATCCTAATTCCGATCATGGACCGCCTCGTCTACCCGTTCATCCGTACACGACTACACATCGCAATGATGCCAATAACGCGCATCTCTCTCGGCTTCCTCATGGCCGCGCTCGCCATGCTCTACGCAGGCGCTCTCCAATCAAAGATCTACGCGGCGCCACCTTGCTACTACAGTCCATCGAACTGCGACGCGGGAAAGATCAGCGAAGGCAAGTTCAAACCAAACGAAGTTCACGTCGCATGGCAAGCCCCAGCATACGTGCTGATCGCACTGAGCGAGATCCTTGCTAGTGTTACCGGCCTGGAGCTGGCTTATGCGAAAGCACCGGAGAATATGAAGAGCTTCATCATGAGTCTCTTCTTGCTCACAAGTGCGGGTGGAAGTGCGCTGGGTATCTTGCTTGCTCCATTGGCAAGAGATCCGCACTTGCAGTGGTTGTACTTTGGATTGGCGTTGATCGCCGGAGTCGCGGGCGTTGTGTTTTATCGCATGTTCAAAGTCGTTGATGACGGCCCTGCGGCGAAGTTGGCTGATGCTGGAGAGTATGAGCTGACCGGACGGGCGAGCGCTGACGATGATGGGTATTACAGCGACGATGCGGACCCTGCTCAAGGCTTGCAGCGCGCCTGAGGTACGACAGCCTGAGGTGCACCATCCACCTGCATCCGCCCCCAAGCCATGAGCCGGCCGCGCTTCCGCTCCACCGTTCCGCACACACCGTCTTTCTACATCCCTTAGCTTGGACGCCTAACCTGACATCCGTGCGGTATGCTGTTGGAACTTCCTGTGCGACCAGCTGTTCCGTAGAGGCGTGATTTGAGCAGCACTAGATTTCCATTGCGAAAAGAGCATTTATAGAACATCATCGTCAACACGTGAGACGGTTGACCTCGAGTGTTGGCCATGCAAAGAGTAGGAAAAAGCATAGCCGAAAATTGGGGCGCGGCAACCTGTTGATGTCATCGTTCATTATCTCCGAAAATCGCTTAAGTGCGCCAAAGTCCTTCACAATTCCACTCACGTCACGACCCTCCGACCACTCTGACCCATCAGCATTGGCTTACATGGAGACATGGAGTCATCGCAGTTCAAATTATGGGTTACAATTCAGAAACATACAATTTCAAAGTCAGAGCTGACGTTGGACCGACCTCTATGATTCGATGACGCTGTGGATTCATGCGGACGCTCGGTTGGCGCCCTCCGCGGAATGACGAGCTCCGAACCCTTACCAACCATGGCCTCGGCCGAACCCATTTCATCATCCGCGCAGAAGTGTGGCTTGAATAGTCCTATGTATAACGCACCAAGCCGTGGGGAAAGGCTTGTTTCCACCTGTGCCTTCTCCCCACACCCCATCCTCATCGTCAACCATGGAAAAGCTCGAGCGATTCTTGTCGCGGCCGACAGCGAAGCCATACAAGACCGGCGACATAGAAGCCTCCGAAGAAATACACCTTAACGACGAAGGGTTGCTTGAGTTTGGCCCTGACGATATCGAAAATCCTAAGAACTGGTCCACCGCAAGAAGATGGTACATCACCGTGGTGTCGGTCACCCTAGTTGTGAACGCCACATTCGCATCGTCTAGCCCCTCTGGTACGCTTGAGTCTCTATCCACAGACTTGCACGTCTCCACCGAGGCTGGGGGGCTTGTTATCACCTTATTTCTCCTGGGGTACTGCGCTGGTCCCTTGGTATTCGCCCCGCTCTCAGAATTCTTCGGTCGCAGATACATTTTCTACGTCACCTTTACGCTCTACCTGGCCTTCAACTTCCTTTGCGCATTCACGCCTAACTTCGGTGGGCTCCTGGTGGGAAGATTCTTGACGGGTACATTTGCAAGTGCTCCTCTCTCCAACGCACCAGGTGTACTGGCAGACATCTGGGGACCTCTCGAGCGTGGAAATGCAATGGCCGCCTTCTCCATGATGACCTTCATCGGTCCATCGCTCGGACCCGTCATATCAGGCTTTCTCCAACTGAAGAAAGACTGGCGATGGTGCTTCTACGTCCTTCTCTGGCTGGGTGCCTTTACTGAAATCCTAATGTTCACGATCCCGGAGACATTGCCCTCAATCGTGCTCCGCAACAAAGCCAAGCGCATACGCGCCTTAAAGATCCCTGGATATGAAGAGGTCAAAGCACCAGTTGAAGTGACGGACAGGACGCTCGCAGGCATGTTCCATGTCGCCCTCACTCGACCGTGGAAGATCCTCATCGACCCCATCTCCTTCGCCGTCGCCATCTATCTCGCCGTCGTATACGCCCTGCTCTACATGCTTTTCACCATCTACCCCATCGTCTTCCAACAACACCGCGGCTGGAACTCCGGCGTCGGCGAACTCCCACTCATCGGCTCTGCCCTTGGTGCCGCCATCGGCGGCGCCATCATCTTCGCGAACACAGCCAGGGACAGAAAGAGGGCAGAAGCCGGCTACAAAGCCACACCCGAAGATCGTCTTCCTGTAGCCATGCTCGGCGGCGTCATGTTCCCCATCACAATGTTCTGGTTCGCGTGGTCGGCAGAGTACAATAGCGTTCACTGGGTCGTTCCCACTCTCGGCGGTGTTTTCCTCTCGACCTCCATCCTGCTCATCTTCGTCGCTTATCTCAACTACCTCACCGACACGTATCTCATGTACGCTGCGAGCGCGCTAGCAGCGAATACCGTTGTGCGCTCCGCCGCAGGAGCTGCTGCGCCGCTGTTCACGCAGTACATGTTCGATGCTCTTGGTGTTGGTGGCGGTGGCTCGCTTATTGCTGGGATGGCTTGTGTGCTTGCGCCTATTCCTTTTGTGTTTTATAAGTATGGTGGCCCGATTCGGGAACGCTCGAAGTTTGCGCCTACGCCGGAGAAGGCGAATGAGGGGAATGGGGCGAAGTAGGAGGCGAGAAGTCATGCTAGAAAAGCGAGTTGATACATCTTATAGCTGCAAATCCAATTAGGGTTCCAATATAATCATTGCTTTCCAAGAACGAAACGGAACACACTCGGAATCTGATTCTTTCGATACTAGCTCTCGTCATCTTCCACTCGTGATACCGTAAGCGAAGTTTGCAAGCATCTCAAATAGAGATGTTGAAGAAAGCGATGTATTGTTCCCTGACTGCGTTTCTGTGAATAGCCGACGAGGACGGCTGATGTTGGCATGCTTACATCAACGGCATCTACCGGAAGCGTTCTGTCGACTACTGGGTGCTATGTCGGCTCCATTTCGCCCGATCCTCAACGGTCGTGTCGGGCCGTGGACTTGCACCAGCAGCGCATCGTGTGCTTTGTTGGTGGCATCGGAGGACGCTCACGGGAGAGCCCGTCGTGAGATCCTCCAGAAGGACGCGACTAGAGTGCGCGTGCTGGCCTGTCGTCCTCTGTTATTGTGGCGAAGCATCTTCAGTCGGGCGATCTTTCGACTGCGCTCGTTGCAGCTGACGTCTGTGTTTCTTTGCGACAATGGGCGGCGGCGTGTTGTTGGCTTTACGTGGCCTCGCGGTTGTCCATCCCCATCTTCTAGAAGCAAACCGGATGGCAACGTATTGCGATCAGACATACGGCGCGAGAGCTGCTTGCCTAAGGTTGAGGTTCTGCTAGTCTTGGTCTCTTGCGTGAGGAGATGGACTTCAGTTGAGGAGCACGTCCGTCATCTTCGCAAAGGCGACGCGCATCACGCTGACGCGACAAAAAAACAGTGCTGAGCCTCTAACACGACGCCGGTGTCGGGATAAGAAGAAACATGCTATATTGCCAAACAATCGTGGCATACCTAGCGTAGTAAGTAATTCAATGCCCGGATGGTGCCGGTAGGGAAGAGCCAGCGTTCAGTCAATGCGTGGATGTGGAACGCGGGGGATCTTTCCAGCGATCCTCCGTGATTGGTCGAGAACGCGTTCCCCTGATCTCAACTCGAACCCAAACACCGAAGTAAAACCACTACTTTGCCCGCCTTGAGCCTCGTTCTGTCAGCATGGTGCTTACCGGTCGTTCTTTCGGAAAGTGAGTCGCTTGGTTGCGCGCGATCATGATGGTGCACACAAGGCTGATGACGTGCGGAGACGCTGCAGCCTCGAGATGCTCGAGAATCTGCGCCTGCCAGATGGCAGCTTGAGGGGCCTGCGCGAACCAGTCTCGAGCTCTAGTTTGTGTTGAAGACGCAGTCTACTCTTCGTGCTGGGCGAAGGTTGCTGGAGGCATCGTCGTTGCGCGATAGAGGGCTGACGTCGGAGACGGCGGTATGTAAGATTACCTGGACATCCTGGATTAAGGCTTGGGGCTTGGGCGACAAACCAAGCAGACTAGATCTCTCGACATAAGATGATAGAATCGCCTTTCCAAGCGCTCTTTTCCCCAAGTTCTTCTTCATCCGCTCGCTTCAGGCCTTTATCAACTCTCTATTCCGCCATACACTCCCACTAACAGTCCTTACCATATCTCAGCCTCACCATCGGATTCCGACGATGAGGAACCTCTTGGTAGCGACCGTTTTGACGGCCGCGACTGCTGCCATAGCCCAGAACGCTCCATTCGTGCAATGCCTCCAAACGGCCCTCAGCAACGATACCAGCACTTGGATGCTACCGAACGATCCGATGTTCTTGCAGGGAGATGTACACCCATACAATCTCAACTACAACATTGTTCCGGCCGCGATTTCGTTCCCAAAGACCCAGGAGCAAGTGTCGGAGGTCGTGAAGTGTGCGAACGCCGCAGGAGTTGCGGTCCAGGCGCGCAGCGGCGGCCATAGCTATGCGAACTATGGTAAGCCTGAACCCAGAAGGACGACTTGCGATTAAGAACTTGCTAACACGAACTTCGTATATAGCACTGGGAGGGTTCAATGGCTCATTGGTGGTTGACATGAAGAACATGGCATCTTTCTCGTATAACGAGGGTGACCACACGGTAACTTTTGGTCCGGTAAGCGACTTCCTGACACTACACCTGTAACGAACACCCTTTGTTGCACATGCGCTGACGTGCGCATCTTTCACAGGGAAACCTTCTCGGCAACATCTCCGAGAAGCTTCTACCTCTCAAGCGGGTTATGGCATACGGTGAAGTAGCCGTCATCGGCACGGGTGGCCACTTGACCATTGGAGGTCTCGGAACGCTCAGTCGCCAGCTGGGCGTCGGAGCTGATCAAATCGTGTCAGCGCAATGTGTGCTTGCAAACGGCACAGCCATGACAGCTAGTGCAAGCACGAACCCCGACTTGTTCTTCGCCATCCGAGGCGCCGGTTTCTCTTTCGCTATTGTCACAGAGTTCACTATGAAGACTGCACCCGCGCCGACCGAGATCACCAAGTACGCCTACACCATCGCGGCCGACGACGCAAATGCCTTCGCAAGCACATTCCAAAAATGGCAGAAGTTTGGCACGCAGAAGAATCTCGACCGCCGCTTTTCCAGCACTATGACTCTCAGCCAGGGCTCGATGGTCATCAACGGCAACTTCTACGGGCCGAAGTCCGACTTCGATAAGCTGAACGCGCAGTCTATCCTTCCTGCTAATACCTCAACCGTCGTTGTGGACATCACCGTTGGCGAGCTTCCGTTCCCAGGACTCGGCGACCCAGACCTGACAGCCAGCGGCAGCTTCCCCATCCCTTTCTACGCCAAGAGTGTCAAGACGCCAAGTCACAAACTGCTGTCGGACGAAGCCATCAAATCCATGTTCTCCTACATCAATGGCACTGAGAAGGGCGCGCCCGTGTGGCTCGTCATTTGGGATCTCGAAGGCGGCGCCATCGCCGATGTGCCGCAGACCGCTACCGCATACTGGCACCGCGACGCCGCCTACTTCATGCAGAGTTATGTCGTCAATCTTGGAGGCCCCGTCACTGACGCGTCCAAGACGTTCTTGTCTGGCCTTAGCAGCTTGGTGCAGAAGGAGACGTGCGATCAGGGCGCGTACCCAGGCTACGTCGATCCTGAGCTGGAGGACCCTCAGCAGGCCTACTGGGGCGGCAATGTGCCTCGCTTGCAGCAAATTAAGGCGGCAGTCGACCCTGATAACGTCTTCCGCAATCCTCAGAGTGTGCCGACTCAACATCAGGCTCAGCAGCGTCGTCAGGTTTTCGTAGGGTCAGCGGTACAGTCATACGCAGGGCAGTTTGGTCTATTGGTTTCCTGTATTCTATTGGCGGCGATCTTGTATATTTAATCGTACATAACCTGGAAAGTTAGGTGGCAGACTTTGCATGTCGTATTAGTAATAAAATGCAGATTGGAAAATTACAGCACCCTGCAGTGACCGTTGTATTCTTGGAGGTGGTCCCCCAAAGACCCAAATATATCGATTGAAGAGCGGTTGCGAGCATGCGAGGCGAAACTAATGATGCGATTCATGCGGGTTAGATGATGATTGTAAGCCTGCTGCGTTCGCGTGAAGTTGCATGCGGCGATTCGGGCGCTTGGGAAGGCACGTGCCAACATCTCAACACTTCGCCTCACCAACAACGGACCCGTCTCAACTTTTCCTCACCACTTCAACAATGCTCTGCGTGACAACTTATACCGCCATCGCTACCAGACCGCACTCCGATTAGTGCTGCAACACGTCTTCGCTAATCGTCGCGATGACAGCTGCGACGAGTGCGACCTGCCTGATGCCGCCGCTGCTGTGTCACGAGGCTTGACGCGTCGAATTGTAGACGGGAAATGGCTTGACGCGCACAAGCTGCCTAGACTGTGTAATTTACATAAGCTTCCCTTATTGCGCCTGTCGCTATCGCAAAGAGAATAGGTGCAGCTTAGGATGTCTGCAAGAGCTGCCGACGACTCCATAGGCGGCGAGCCTGTTCACAGCGAACCAGTATACTTGCGACTGCGAATGCAGCCAAGAGTTGTGTATGCTGACGCATACGAATGAGAGCCTGTACAGACCAGCCACAACTACCCCTCCGAAGCTGAACGGGCATCACGCCAGGCTGCATCATGCACCGGAACTGGTGCCAGCTGGATCATAAAAGCGTCGCATCGCCTCATTTCCATTCCGCAGCGCAAGACAACCACCCACTGTCGCCATCATGTTCCATGTATGCGCTAGCAGCCTAGACGAAGGAGAGGAGGTGAACTTCAGCGGCGGTCTGGTCGAGATCGCGGCTCTGACTGCTGTGATCGGGGGCTCGACTGCTGAACTGATTGCTCTAGGGAATTGCGGCGCTTGCGGTTTGCCATGGGCGGCTCTGAGCTCCTTTGGGTCGATCTTCATCGTCAAAGCATGCATATCCGCCTGCACACCAGGATGGCTTCGAGATACCGTTGGTGTGAGAACCAGTGGCTCTGATAAGGCTATTGGGTGTTGCATGAGTCTGAGTAGGAAGGCAAACAGTCGCGTAGTCACTGGCAGTGCTGTTGGAGTGACGGTGAAGTGGACCAAGGTAAGTCAAGATTAAGAAGCAGATTCGAGGACATGTCTAATCGACTTCAGACCAGCGAAGGTTCTACTTTGATAACCGCTGGGAGCGAAGATTTCGAAGATGTTTACGCTTTCGATGAATGGACGGCCGGCCCGTTGCGATCTTGTGCAGTAATGCAACCTGGGGAGCATCTACAAGCTCACGTCTACATGCGAGATCATTACTGGGAGATTGTACAACGCTCACAGACCAGAAACGACTGGATAATTACGTTTGCAACCTTGCTGAAGGTCGTAGAGATGTATCTGCTCTACCACTTCGGCTCTCGACGCGTCTTCCTGGTTACTGGAGTCATCTGGGCGTACACCTTCTTCTCGGCGATCGCGTTGCAGTTGTTTCACGTCGGAAGAGCTACAACACCTGGCGAGCAGTCAAGACATTTTGATGTCGTCTCTGGGTCGCTGCCTACACCGTAAGTGATCGGGGGAGAGCGCAGGATTCTCCTCGGGGTACCTGTCAACCTTCGCAGAGGTCGCGCGTGGCAGATATTCTGGATTATAGGCGCCGCCGTTTGCATTACTTCCCTTCTCGGCACATACGCCGTTCTTTCGAATGAGCCGGCCGTTTGTTTCCGGATCTGGCTTGGTTTCCAGGTCATCTGGCTTGCGCTTCGATCGATCTTCTTTCACTTCGCACAGCAGGTAGACGACATGAAACACATCATTACACCGAAAATAACGGACGAGAACCGGCCACCCGAGTTAAGTTTGCGGCTACTCGGACTGGCGGTTGGGGTGTCGAAGCACCAGATTCTGAACCACCCCCGCGGCGTGCTCAGCTATGCGAACGACGCGCAAGATCCCGTGATTATTAGGAGGCTCTTGAGCGACGCCAATTTGGAGTACACAGACTACTTCGAGCTTCCAACGCGCGCAGATTCAGGATCGGAGCTGGGCGTCACTGTGGTCGGCGTCATTGGTGACACTTTACTCTCAAGTGTCGCATGGCTCATGGGCTCTCCTCTGGCCGGGATGGATCTTTACGATTCATGTATTTTGGCTGTCCGTGTCTCTGGCGCGATACAACTGATACCGTCGTGTCGCGTGCTCTCCGGTCGCATCGCCGACGAACAAGTCCCGGACCCCGAGACGACGTTGCCTTCCAACTTCCGACCCAAAGGCGCAGCGAACGAGGGTTACAACAGTAGCTGGTGGTACTGGATACCATGCGGCGAGAAGAAGTGGTTGTGGTACAGCACACCATGGGCGACTACCACAAAGGTCGACTTGGGTATCACGGGTACGAAGAAGATGACAGTCACGACAGGAGATGACATCACCAAAGAGCTCTTGTCCGGGACGTTGCAGATCAGTATGAGCGACGTACAAGCCGTTGAAGATGCTATCGCGCAGTCTGCGAGGGCGGGTACAATTCTGCGGAATATGTTAAGAGAAGATTTCACACGATTCGAGAAGAGCGCAGAATCGTAGCACGATAAAAGCAACGTAAATGCGGCCACAAGCATTGCTCCGAACCCGACCGAGCCCGACCGAGCATCATCCAGGCTGTACCCTATGACGGAAACTAGAAAAGGTTCCCCGTACGATAACTGCACAAAACGAGATACGAGATACGATGGTTTGTGGGGAAGTCCCCGTGCGGGGTACCCGGCTGCCCAGAGAACCCTTAGTTTCAAGAACGCTCCGACTGAACTGGCCAATGGTGAGCAAATATCTGCCGAAGCTACATCGCGTCGGTTACATTTGCACCGAGAGGCACCATTCCATCGGCTATTCCTTCTCCACCACCTTCCGACCATCAGTTGTTGTTGTAGGGACGACCGCTGGTTATAATCATGGTCCGGCCGCATTGCCAACGAAAGCCCTGTCAAGATCACCTCGCACGGAAGCAGCGATGGATCTTCTTCAGCGTTTTGCGATTATCACAATTCTTGTCAACCCATTGACGACTGCGTAAGGCTCCAGTGATACATACAGAAGACCGTCCACTCACATAATAGCTTCGTCGAATATGGCTCAATTGCACCTCAATCACACCTACAGCAATCTGCACCCTCATCATCGGGCTTGAAGCCGTGGACGAACGAAACCCTGATCCTATCGCCAGATAGCCCACTCGTTACACTCGACTACGGCACTGAAGTAGCCGGCTTCCCGTTCTTCTATGTTTCAGCAATTTATGGAACGGTGCAGATCGAAGTAAAGTACAGCGAAGAGTACCGCGGCGTCGAAGAGCCATTCTCGGATGGGCCTTGGACATTCTCGAATGGACTATCCAACTCTTTCCGAGTAGAAACGTTCAAAGTCACAGAAACGGGATACATCGAGAGCTTCTTCGTCCAAGGAGGCCAGCGATGGCAGACCGCACGGTTGATTACGAATGGCTCCGTCACTATTGATCATCTGGGATTTCGCGCAACAAGCTCAAACTTGGACGCTGAAATGCTACCAGGCCGCTTACAGACATCTGATAAGACTTTGAATCTTGTCTTGGACCTAGGAGGTCGCGTCGCTCAAGTAGCATGTGTAGATGCCGGAAATGCACCATCTACGTGGGAGATCACAAAAGAAGGAGCATATATCCGGGGCCAAACCAGTGCGCAATCTTCTCTAGGAGTTGACGCAGTCAATTACACACTGGAATTCGACGTAAAGATCGCCCGCGGCGGCGCAGGCTGGAGAGTAGCAAGTGCAATGCCGCCACTGGGGCCTTACTTCGTGCTTACATCCGAATACCCTGAGCAGAACACGCTCGCAAACACCAACCGAACCCTCTTGCCTCCAAACACACTGGCGTTCACTACTGGATGGAGTCTAGTAAACCAGAGCACACTATCCGTGCCAGAAGCCCAGTACTTTACTATCAACACAACCATCAAGGAGAACTTGTGGTATCGCGTGCGCACATCAATCGAGGAGACTGGATATCGGGTAAGCGTAAACGGAACCGAGATTGCGTTCATACCTTTACCTCCGCCTGCACCCCCTGGGAACTTTGGCACACCTTCTCGATACCAAGGCACATGGGGCTTCGGAGGCATGCAGGACCAGATCGCGTATCACAAAGACGTAACCGTCACTGCTGGAAACGGCACTACCATATATCGAAATTCTCTAACGAGCGAGGATACCTTGGCCGAGTATCAGGTCGCACCTCTAGAACATTCAGTCTGCCTGGATGGTGCCAAACGGGATCGGCTAGTCTGGACAGGAGACTTCTATCACACTGTGCGTGTCGTTGCAGCTTCGTCTGCTCGGTTCGACTACCTCCTGGGCACCATCATATACGCGCTAAGCTTCCAGCTTGATGACGGCCCATACGCCGGCTTTACCCAGATCTCTACGAACCTTGGAGCCCGACCCCAGTACAAAGAAGCAAATATCGCAAACTACGCTGGGTTGGTAGACTACCAAGATCTATTCTTGGCAGGAATCGGCCAATACTTCCGCCACACCGGAGACCGCGACGGGCTAAAACCTCACTGGGATCAGATCAAGAGACTTGCCACCGCGAGATTGGCCTTCATCGATCCCTTATCTGGTCTCATTGGAGGTTCTCCGGAGGTTCCATCGCCATTCAGCTTCCTGGGGCCAGCCAACGGTAGTGCAACGACCGGTCTCTTCGCTTACATGCTTGAGGAGATCGCGCCACTTGCGCTTGCGATGGGCGACGAAGACTCTTCGACACAATACTCCCAAATAGCCATCAAGCTGCGCGAGGCCCTCAATCGTGAACTATGGAATGATCAGCTCGGAACATACTCCCTCTCAACCACCGATCGAGGCAACTTCTCCTTGACCGGTATCGCCTGGGCAATCCTATCTGGTGCGGCCAACGACACCCAAGCAGCATCTTCCATTGCTAAGCTTGAGGAGCTTCGCTTCGCAGTAGGCTACAAGACCATCTCGAGCGACATGGAGACAGACGACTACCAGCTGGCACCCAATCCATCAGGTTTCCTGTTGGAAGCCCTATTCAAGTCAAGGCGCGACTTCGGAGTGGACAGCACACCTGCCATCAAGCATCTGCTCGACAACCTGTGGGGTAGCATGGTTAACAAGAACGAGTATTACTCTGGCGCGAGTTGGGAATACGTGAAGCCCGACGGTTCACCTGGTATCGATCTCTTCACTAGCTTAGCGCATCCGTGGGGTGCAGCTCCGACGTATGTACTGCCAGAATACCTTCTCGGCGTCGCTCCAACCTCTCCCGGGTACGAAACGGTTCTTATTACCCCCATGATAGGGTTCTTGAACCAGTCAGAAGTCAGCGGGACGGTGCCGACACCCAACGGACCGATCAAGGTGGCGTGGACGTTGAGCGGCACGAGCGTTGCTTTCACGATTGTTATACCGACTGGTACGGCAGCTACACTACAGTTGCCAGCTGGCGCGACTGCGGTCGGCAGGAGCTTGCGCAATGGACAACTTGAGCTTCCTTGTGGAACGATGGAATTGAGAATACATATGAAGAGCGACTCATAAATTGAAGAAGAGAGAGGATATCATCCATCGTTGCCATCAAGTTTGAATAATGCAATGACAGGCTTTTTCATCCGCGCGAAAGTTCCCTACTACACACCTCTAGTCCTTGGGCGCTTTGTACTGACTTCGATCTGGCTCCCCGTTGCTGAACTGCCTGCGCTGGTAGTTGATCGCTCTCTCGTCGAACTGCAAAATCGTCCACATCTGTTTCTGTACTTTGTCCGTCGACTGCGGAAAATACTCAACTCTCATCTCTTTCCCATCTTCCTCGACAACGCGCGCGACGAAGACGAGATCTTCGTCCTTGGAGAATTCGTTGAGGAAAACAAAGTACTGGTCGTTCACGGGCGTGTCAATCCTGAACTTCTTCTCATCCGTGTCTTCGGCGTGTGGCATCGCTTGCAACCACCTTGCGCAATCTTCGGGCGTCTTGCCGAGCCAGGGCGAGACAAAGGAGGATGGTACAGGCGCCTCCGTGCCACCGGGCGGAGGGGGCTTGTGGACTTCGGGGCATGCGGGTAGGTCGTCGTAGGAATCTGTCGCGACCCAGAAGTTCCAGTCCTCACCACCGTCGCCATGGTAGGCGCGCTCAAGGACGGAGTTGAGATACTGTGATTGTTACTATTGTGCACATGGTCAATAGATGCAGCGGTGCTGACCTCGTTGGTGATGCTCTTGTCGAGGACGAAGAGCGCGTAGGGAGGGTCAGACATATTGCTTGTGCAAGGTTGTGGTTATTATTTGAAAGTCAGAAAGCTACAAAGTCTGCGGAGTTATTGTTGCGACGAAGTCGCGGCCTTAATGGTCTTACTATTCACTGACGTCACATGCGTTCGCAGGTGCAGGCAGTGAGGCGGAGCGGATGCCTACGCGAGGCCCCCCGCTGCGCAGCTGCGCCGCACCTTATTCTTGACCTGCAGCTGCACCGTAAGCTCAGACGTGGATCTCGAAACTCCAGAACGTCCAACGCGGCGAATCACGACTGCATCACTAGCATGGTTGTGTGGGTATCGCAATCTTTTTCGAGGTACATGTACTCAGCCTTGTCGCACATTGTTGGCGGCAACGTAGACAGACCCACGATCACTCGTACACGCTGACTATGCCTACCATCGCCCGTCTCCTGGCCCCCCGACGACCCACCTTTCCAGACATTATGATTACCTACACATGTGGCCGTGTTGCTCGAAGTGGTCAGGCGTTCTTCCCACTCAAGACATGTCGGGGCTGTTTGACCTGTCAGACTTTGACTTTCAAGTCTACGCTGATGGACGCCTGGGTACTATGTTGAGAATGAGCACCACGAGAGTATAGTGTCTTGTGGGAACGTGTTATGCAGCCCCCAAGATACAGCCGCCAGGATCGAAGTACCATGACCATGAGGGTAGAATGCGCTGAAGTAGACCTAGTCTCGCACTGGTATAAAAGAGGTTGCAACATCCTACTGATGTTTCTTCACTACCGGCACATTTCTCCAGCTTCATAGCTCTCTCCGTTATCAGTCTTCTTCTTTCTCGCATCTTGAACGCAGTTTGCGCTTTTGACTTCCTCCAGAGCCTTCCAATACCTTACTCGTCAAACAAGTCTGTTCCGTTGCCCAACATGCATTACATCGTGGCCATCTCTCTGCTGCTCCAGGTTTCGATGGGCTTGGAGCAGGGCAACAACATGCCCGACATAGTAGCACCCGGAAGGGCAGACAGAATGTTCGTGAAGCGCGCTGGGAAGGATTACGGCAAACAGACTGTAAGCTGTGTCGGTGGAGAGGGTGCTTGCAACAATGCTTGTTACTACATCAATTGCGTGGTTAGTGTTTGCCAGCTCACTCTCTTTGAACTCGAACTGATTTGTGTCTGCGGTAGGCCCCAGCCGCCGGTATCCAGAATCCAAGCAGAATCGTGTACGTCGGGCCCACCAAGGGCAACGAGTTGGAGAAAGCACACAACCGACAGGCATCTGGGTGCTCTGCTGGAGGCAAAAGCCCT